ATTATTATGGTACTTGCATGCTAAAATGTTTTCATGTTTGCTGATTACTTCATTTTATGGAGGAGAAGTTAAAGAAGCTTCAGCCCATGTCCAAACTCCTTGCTGGGGAAGGAAGTTTACATCCTAACTTTGTCAGAAGTGCAGTTTAACTCTCTCTTAACTTGCAAACCTGAAGTGGACATAGATGTTGGAGCTCGTGCAGTGCCTTTTCTGTAAGGAAAAGTGGTGACGAGTTCAGTGGATCTGAGAAGCTGAGAGCTTCAAGTCTTTGAAAGGTAACTGGTAGAGAGGGCTGGTGCTTGGAGAAATCAGCTTGTACAGGGGAAGGACTGGATCTAGTGGGCAGACGTTAAGATTTGCTTGGATTTTAAAATGAATTCTGAGCCTTGACAAAAGGTGCAGTTGGTAAGGAAGGCATCTTCCTTGCATGATGCAGTAGCCATTCAGAGCTTCTCGCTTGGAGGTGACAGCATTCACCTCCAATGCCTGATTCTTCATTCCCTCGACAGGAACTTCCCACAGCAACTGATTATGCCCTCAGTAAAACAGACAAAACCATCGAGGTGATCCAAATCTTTCCACCTCTTGATGCTGAAATTAAGAGAATTGACATTTCAGGGCTTATTACCCTTTCAGAGCTAAGACTTTATGAGAACATGCTGTTCTTCAGGACATACTGCAAACCACTGTAAATCCAACTTTTCAACTCAGAAATTGACCCTTCTCAGATGATTTTAGCCTTTCCAACTTTCTTGCTGACAAAAGAAGCATAGATTACAATTAGCAGAGGTCTCCAAGTTCCTTCTTTTACACGGTTGTAGACCAGGTTGTAGATCTACCCCCTTGTAGCTTGCTGCCCACGACCCTTTTGGCAAGTGCTTATTTGTGAGGATGTGCTACCCAAAGTTGTGGCCCTGTAGATTTAATGCAGGAATAATTGAAAAAGACTGTACTGACTGAAAGTCTCTTCCTGGATTGATCATGTAAATTTCCAGAGAACTCTTGGCTCCTTTGGATCTGCTAAAAATACCAAGTCTTTCTTCATCACACTGAGAGATTGCAAGCTATAACCTAAAATAGCACTGTAAGAATTATAGTAGGATAGAATAAGACTTGTGGGAAAGACATAGCAAATTCATCCTTGCTTCCTGAACTAATTGGTTTTGGATTAGATTTGAGGAATTTCTTGTAGATTACTGGTACTCTAAAATGTCGCAGACATTTGGAGTGCTGCAGAGGTTTGTTTCTGACTGCAGCCTTTTATTAATATATATATAGTTGATTTAAAAAGTACAAATATTTATTCAGAGAGCAATGAACAGGGAGATCTTGCAAAGTGAAATTACAGAAGGATTAGGAAGAAATTTATCTCTTCTTAGGGATATTATATTTGCATGTTTGAAGACAGTTTTTACTATATTAGTGCTAATCTAGACAGTGGTATTCACCACGAGCCTGAAGACCAGAAATGTCGAAGTGATTAACTTTCATTGAAGGCTTTAAGCAGAGTTCATAGTGAAACCCTCTGGATAACCCCTCTACCTTCCCTTCCCTCCGGTTCCAGAAAAATGATGACCCTGGGCTATTCCTCACTCATATATACGCCTTTTTCTAAAATGTCTATTTGATTTGGGGGATCAAATAGTGAATTCTTTAAATTCCTCTTGGAAGTGTCTCCAGGGCTGTCTGTGGAGTTTTTTTTGGCTTGATTTTAAAATAGGAAACTCATGCTGCCATCTGTCAAATATTCTGTATGAATGCGATGCAGACTTTCACAAGAAAAGGGTAGTTTTCCTTTCATGATTTTTGTGAGCACAGTTTCTTCGTTTTACAGACGTTAGATTGTGGTGTGTAACCCTTTTTAGTAGGGCGTTAGAGTCAGGCATTGAGATGTGCAGGATTGTTAACAAAACATTGGCAGTCAAGATTTAGGGGATCCAAAGAAGCAGCACACACACTGATAGTACAATTTCATGACCATCCTTTTCTATTAAATATTTAACTGAAATGAGGAGTTTTTCTTTAAAGCCTTGTGCTCTAAACTGTGCTCTTTCTAAACAGGGAATATTCAGTCATGTGGATCTGCACTTTGCTTCAGAAGTCTTTGAAGCCATTGACCTGTCTGGATCTATCTGTCTTCAGCGCTGTAGCGAACTAACCCTTGAATTTCTTGCCATCATTAGCACATCTTGGTTCCTCAGAGTCCACAGAAATTAACTTACCCCACGATCTCACCATTAGAGGTTGGTTCTCTTCTCACCCCTGCATTACAGGAGCTGAGGCTTCTGTAAAGCACAGTTTTTGCTACAGCACAGAAGCACTGTGTGCAGCTACATCTATTTGCTTCTGCTCTTCTTCAAACAGGAAAAAGGATTTAATTGCTGCAGGGACCTCTTAGGATGGGGTAGTTACAGAATAGGGTTTTAGATGGGACTGATGGCTAGGATGTTACCTTAACATCAGGATAACAGAGTAGCTTTAATTGCTTTTGCTCAGTCATTCCATGTTGTTTCTGCAACAACAGGGGAGTGAACTGTTCTACCATCTCTGAAATACCCTGAATTATCTTGCTATTAAACCCCTAAATGGTTTAACTTGGATACAACGTGCTTTTCTTGCCTTCTCCTATATTGCACTGCTGCATAATACCATGGAGCTGCCCAGATTTTCCTCTGCAGGTGGGTGAGAGTTTTTGAAAGACAGAGTGAGTGCTGGGACTTTTTTGAAGCAAAAGTATCGTACAAGTAGAAAATAGTTGATTATGGTTACTGTATACAGTAGGAATTGTACCACTTACTGCCTTGAGGGTCATTTGCTAGTAACCATAATGTGAAATTACAGAATTTTAGTCACAATAATAAACTTAGTTTTCAGTATACTATAGTTCTACTATGAAATTTCTACCTAATTATGCCTAATTAGCCATGGATTCCACTCCAAATAATGTTCCAACCATTTTCTGAATAATTAGGGAAACAGCCTTTTAAAATATCTTAAAATCATCAATCTTGAGTTAGAAGAATTTTCACTCCATAAGATACCATAGGTAATCTTAGGTGAGCAGGAACTTATAAAGNTCTTGAGTTAGAAGAATTTTCACTCCATAAGATACCATAGGTAATCTTAGGTGAGCAGGAACTTATAAAGAAGCGATATGGAATTAGAATTCAACTAAGAAAGGCAAAGCTCCTGGAAGAGTTGAATGCATAACTTCAGAAACTCTTTCATTACTCTCCTTTAAATTTCTGTTGAGAATTGCATGGTATTTAGTAAATGTGATAAATATCCAGTGATAGCCTTCATCTAGCCAATTTCTCAAGTGCATTGTATTTTAAGAAAAGTCTTTAAAAAATCACTCACTCAATAGCCATTTCCTTTATGATTTTTTTTCAGTTGTATCTCCTACCACCTGCAAACAGTTTTTGTGCATATCAGCTTGAAAACAGCCAAGACTGAGTTCAATGCAGTTTGCCTAATGCTTGTCAAGAAAATCACTTGTGAAACGTAAAGCTGGTTATTTGCACAAGCTCAGTGAGCTGCGACAGTTGAGCAGGAGAGAGGAGGAACCTCCAGGTCACTCACATTTTCCTTGGCTGAGCAGCTGGTGGAAATGGTGTTGTGCCAGTGAAGGTGTTTGTTTCACAGTCGTTCACACCTGCTGTTCTTAGTTCCTTCTTCAAGGCTGCTTCCATGACCTGTTGTTCTTCCTTCCACTAAAGGCCTTGGGAATTTTGCTCCTGGCTTTGTTGAAAAACAGGACTTGGTCATTGCTATTTGCATTTGAAGGATAGTAAGTGTAATGGTTTATGTATAATATCACATTCTGCAGCTTTCTTAATCATAAGTGAGTAATTTATGTCTCATAGAGGTGCCAGTCATCCTGCTTTTTTTATTATTTGGAACAAAATCCACATTAAAAATGAGGAGCAACAGAACAGACTCTCAGGTCAGGATTTCAGTGCTCTTCTGCTAAGGTGTTCTTTGGGATTCTTTGGGATATTGATGAAGGAAAATATTTTGAATGGGAGAGGAAAACATGCATGCGTTATTCCATTGAGTTGGCTTTGCTCTTGTGTTTTATATGCGTTTATATGTGTCGCCATATGTGTTTTATACCCAAGTAAGAGGCAGAATTTGGCGTAACTGAAGTTAATACTGATTTGGTTTGTGGTTAAGGTGCACATGTGAACCTGGCAGCATTGCAAAGGAATTGGCACCTCGGAGGAGGGCAAGCAACGCAGTGCAGAACCCCCTGTCGTTTCCACTGACACTTGTCCCCACTAGAATATCTCAATGGGACAGATTTGGACCCAAGTGGATTAGGGATGGGGAAGACATTCCTGCAATGCAGTGGCCCAAGCTAAGTTAGCAGTGTGTTTCCATGACTGGAATGTCATGGATTGCTTATATAAACTTAACATGGTGATCTTGGGGAGGACTGTGTTAAATTCGCTTTGCAGAGTTGTCTAGTAATAACATTTCTATGTTGCTTTAACCAATATCTTTGCTTTGGACATCAGGCAAGTTTTGTGCCTCCCTAAGGAGAGCAGACCCCACCTGATGATCCTTTAAAGGACTAAACAGCTTTGGGAAGGTGCAGGGAAATCTGCCCTGCCTGCAACCATCCCATTGCAGCGGAAAGGCCCTGGGAGGCTAAAAACAGATGGAACTACCTCGAAATGGCTCAATGTAGGCTTTAATGATTCAATAAAACACCCTCAAACACAGAGCCCTCTGAGTTTGAGATGAACTACTTGCTGCTGTTATTGCTGTGGCAATTGCTATGCAAATTTGTGATGTGCTTATATCTTAGGATTTACATTAGGATATGTGTAAGCAAAAGCTCTGTTAATTACATCATTGCACCAAAAGTTATTTTTCTTAACTAATATGGAGGTCTGTGAAAATTCTTTGTGTTGCGAAACGTGCTAAAAAGCAGAGAAACGAGGATGCCTTTGCTGTGCTGGCCTGGGAATGAGCTCCTCTGTTTTTGTTGCCAGGAATTCGTCAGCGATGGGTCACGGCTGCTTCTGCTACGCGCTGGTGCGTTCGGTCCCCGTCGCCGTCTACATCATTTTGGTGACGGGCCTGCGTTACCACCTGTTCATTTGGAGCGTCTTCTCCCCAAAACTGCTCTACGAGGGGATGCACGTGCTCATCACGGCCGGCGTCTGCCTCTTCTTCACCGCCATGGATCAGAACCGGTCTCGCCGGGGGCAGGACTGAACCTACCGCACGTGGTCAGCGTTCATGTGGCAGCGGGATGGGAAAAGGGAAATAACGGGTTGAAACTGCCCTGTAAAGCTTGGAGTGTGACCCGGTTTGTTTCAGACAATAGAGGGACTTGTGGTGTGTGAAACTCAGTGCACTGGAAACTCTTGAATAGGAATAAACTGGTTTTTAGGAGTAACTTCTGTTCCAAAGCAGGCGATACAGGATTCACCGAGTGACTGAGTCACAGTATGACATGATAGTGAGTTTCACAGCATACCAATACGGAGTTGTGTCTATAAAAAGTTATGTAGAGAGACTGCAAATAATGACTGTTTTCAATGAATAATGATTACTTTGGATAGAGAGAAACAGTTTTGAGTGTCAAGGAAAAATACTGTCCTAGGAAAACAGGTGAACACTCTGCTTCTCATATTCACACATTCTTGAATGCTGGCTTTTTTTTTTTTTTTTGCTACTGTTTGATTTTTCTTTACTTACAGAATGAAAGATTAGAAGTTCACTAAATACATTAAAAGCAATCCTTCAAAAATAGTTTAGAAAGAGAATAGCCTTTTTAGTATCCTTATGTAAAGCTTGATTAGTAGAATACGTTTTTTGTGTTTCTAAACTTGTTTTTTTCTTGTAACATAGGGACATTAAGAAGAAAATAAGAAACTCCCTGTTTCAATCAGCTTGTTCTGCTAAAAATGATTGGTTTGGTGTATCTGTTTAATAGGGCAACTTCAATGTTTGTGGAAGAAGACACTGGTTAAAGCAATAAGGATGGACCAAAAGAAATCTGGTGGTAGTTTGATCATCAAAAATTGACAAAAGACCGTACTGCTCAATAATTTAATCAAAATATCTGCAATTATATAAATGCAAATTATATAAATACAATTTCATTTTTAAAATGTAGACTTTAATAAAAACACCTACCAGTGCCTCATGGGTACTGAACAGAATCTTTCACTTAATAAAATACTTTTCTTACTTAGTAGCCCATAGAAAAGTAAAAACAGGCAGACTTCTTGATGATGCTTTTAAGTTCTTATATTCTTCAGCTTTCTTTTCTTTTGTTTATAGTGCATTTATTGAACATATTTTCAAATTACTGTACAAACATCACATGTAAGAGATTTTTCTGTTTGTTTAGTGTAGACAGCATATTTATTCAAAGGCAGTAATTCCTTCCTGAGATGAGTGCAATCATTAACTGTGATGGATTCCTCTGCACTTCTGCACCTCAGACACTGGATAAAAACAGTCATGGGCTAAGGGTGTGTTCAATCTTCTGTGGAGTCTGTTCAACACTAAAATGTTGTGTTTCTTTTTGTTAATACGTATAAATGTTAAATCAGGTTTGTGGCTGCTGCACTAAGCATTTGGTCGTGTTTTCCTCACTAGGGTGGAAGGTCAAGAGCCGTCTGTGAGGGAACAACTTAATGGGCCATGTTAGCAGCAGAATCAAATGTATGTTTTCATCACCTTCCTCTTATACCCTCTTGGAAATGTGGCATAACTAATTCATAACAGTGCCATTTTTCTATCCGACTCTCAGGAAAATACATGTTAATGATTGCTTTGAGTATAAGTTTTTTTTCTTCTTACATTTGTCCAAGTTTGCAGCAATTAGGATTCAGTCTAAAGGTGTGAAAGGTGCATCAGAAGAGGAGTGCATTTTCTTGCTGTGATTCTGAAAACAAAAAGCTTACATAGCTAATAGCACATATATTAGGATTGCTGATAATCTTCTCATCTCGTATTTCAGACACAGCTGGTTTCAGAAAACAGCCCTTTTCTCTTAATCAAAAGCACTTGCATTAATAATGGACCATATTAATCACTAACAATGATTTTTTGAGGGAATTGCATAACCACAGAATTTTCCATATTCTGGTCATATAACACTGTTCATCTGGAGAAAAGACTACTGGACCTTGGATGTCGTTCACTGTGAACTGTGAAAAAGTTTGAAAATTAAATATTTTTCTAATAAATTGTTTTTTTTTTCTTTTCACTGCAAAATGCTGGGTATTTAAAATGTTTTGTATTTGCGAATGTACACATTGACCATTTTTATCATTCTCTGTATCTTTCTAGTTATTTGTTGCCTGGCGACAGCAGATGGGGGTTGTTGCCACCCTCTCTGTGTGCTTAACTTGGTTAACTGCTGAAGAGCCCTCCCTCACATGGACACAGCATAAAGGTGACTGGACCCCAACAAGAGGGGCTAACACACAGCTGCAGAGAGGCTGGCACTTGCTTTAGGGCTGTGGTATCTTCATGCAGGATTTCTTGGTGATCTGCAGAAGGTCTTTTATTCCTTAGTTTTCCTTATTTATTTATTAGTGTATCTGCTGGGAATTTTGTAGAGTAGTGGACCTGTAGATATAGACCTTCTTAGTCTGGGGATCCTCAAAGTCAGTGGCACATGCATGGCAAAACTGTTCCGCCTTCAGTCAGTTTTCACAGTAGTGTCCCCTTTCTTCTATGAAATTTAAGGGTGTTCATATAGTATCTGGGGGAACATAAAAAGCCACCATTTAGTTTTGACTGAGAATTGTTTTTTTCTACCCAGTAACAGAGCCAGGTTCAGCTGGTTGGAGCCACCTACAAACTGCTGTAGATTTGCTGGATCACCGCTGCTGAGCGCAGCTCCCTGCTACCTTTTACCTCGTCCACAACAGCCCTAAAAATCCAGCCCGGGGAGTTGGAGTAGATGGTCTGTAGAGGCCACTTCCAACCTCAACCATTCTGTGATGCTGTGAATTCCGAGCAAAGAAGGCCTTGTAAGTTAATTCAGCTTCAGTGAGAGCTTCAGTGGCTCTTCCAGGAGACCATGCCCCATCCCAGGAAGGGTCTGCGGGAGAGATTTATCAGAGCAGCTTGTGCCTGACTCACGAGTGCCAGACCACTCGTAGGAGAAGACTCCATGAGCAAGGAGAGAGCGGTGCATGTCACACACCTCACATTTATCAAGGCCTTTGACGTGGGCTATTTAGAGCTGAGGTGGTGAGCTATGGATCAGCATAGCAGAGGGCTGGCAGAAATGGGCTGACACAACCGAGTTGTGTCCTCAGTGGGATAACGTGACAGGGTTGGGCAGGGAGCCGTTGTGTAACTCACGGGGCAACCACAAACTTGCAGCGCAGCTTTTAACATCTTAACGAGCTTGGTGAAGCCTGGGGCGATCCCAAAGTGGGATCACACTGGGAGGTAGGGCTGCTCTTCGGAGTGGCCTTGTCCCCATGGAGGGATGGGCTGAAGCTTCCTTGTGTGTGATGTGCAGCCTTGCCATGGCTGGGGACAGAGGGCACTGACTGGACCTCGTGGGTTGCAGTGGGCAGCAAGGGGGAAGTGTTGACCAGGGGCTGTCCTTGCACAGCCTAAACGCATCTGGAGCCCAAGACCTGGACTGGGAGGAGCGAGCGCGGTGGAGAGCACCAAGGTGAGCAGTGGGGCTGAATGTGCATCCGTGTTGGGCGTGCTCGTGTGTGCGCATTGCCCAGCCCTTGCAGGCCCGTGGTGCTCCACGACAGGCTGGAACGTGCTCACAAGAACATGAGCGGCGCCACAACCCGGTCCTGGTCCCGACATACAGCTCGGCAGGAGCCTGCTGGCACAATATGTGCACGCACACGTGCACGTGGATGCACTTGTATGTGTTCCCGTGCATATTTTGGTGTGCGTATGCACACGTGTAAGCGGTATAGATTCCTCCAGAATGTCTTTGGGCACTCAGTCTGCCTACCAGGTGACTAAATACCTGGGCTTTCCTCTGCTACGGCACGAGGGCAGAGGAGAATTGGGTTCCAGACCTGCTGCTGCTGTTGCCACAGAGACCTCATACTTTGTCACTGTCAGACAAGTTCTTTGTTGGTCACCGTAGTTATAAACGGGATTTAATGTGTTCAAGTGGAGGCCTCCACCGGGGAAGCACAATGCTTAGCAACTTCTTTGTACTCAGTTGCCCCCTTCTATCCTCTTACCACCATATTTTGGCGTGCTTGTTCCTTCCCAGTCCACCCTGATTCTTCTCCTAGAATCCTTCCCCTATGCCACCAACAGAAATTCTCACACGTCCCCTCATTCCTCTTAAAAGCATCCTGCAATAAGTTTTGCACAGTCCCCACGAGCTCCTTCCCCTGCACCCCATAAGGCAGAAACCTTCTTGGTCTGCAGGGCCTTTCAGGAGGGAGCAGTTGACCCATCCCGGTGGCTTTCCTTCCCACCAGGTCATTGTGGGGACTGGGACTCCTCAACGTGTCTCTATTCACCAGACCCACTCCACACCTCCGTGTTGACCCCAATTAGCCATAAATTGAAAGGTTATAATGTGAGGAGTGCCCTCGTCCAGGTAGACAAAGAGGAGCTCTGCAGTAGCAAACGATCTCCAGCAGCCTACCCCAAATTAATCTTTTTTCCAGGATTTCATCATTTTATAATGTTTAATGTGAGCTCTGCCATTCTTTTTAAGTGTCTGCTTTACAGGCCATTTCCTGAGGTCAAAAATCTCTGTCATTCGTTTCAGGACAAAATGAAAAATCCAGCCAACAGGAAATAAACTGGCCGTGTCACATTATTTTATTTAAAAAAAAAAAAAAAAGAGCATGTGTAGGAGGGTTGGACTAGATGATCTCTAAAGGTCTCTTCCAGCCTTAAGGACTGTATGATTCTATGATTCTGTGATAGCTGGAAAGCAGCAGTTCATATTCCTGGGCTCTCTTTTGGCTTTATTTTATGTAGCCATATGTTTATACATGAGAAACCAAAAGTAAGAGTTGCTGGAGGGCAAGGAAGTTGTGAACCACCCGCCCTTGCCAGGCTTCCCACCGTGTCCCTGTCGCTTCAAGATTCCTGGTTTTGATTATGAAAGGTCCTATTTTGCCAATGCTTCTGTTGTTACAAAGCAGATGATCACCCAAAACTTATGGCTTGCGTTTCAAGCCTGACGTTACCATGAATACCTTGGCTTATAGTCCCTTGACTTTGATAGGCCTGGTTTGAATATGTGGGGCACAAACACGTACAGATGACTTGTTTTCTGGAGCTGTTTTTGTGGTTTTAGACTGAGAACTGGTCCAGCCAATGTTAATGCCAGGTGGGGCAAAGGTTCCTCCCAAAGGTCTTCTTACCCTTTGCTAAACCACTTGGGCAGCTATAGAAAACACCCTCGTTTCTTTAGAAGCCACCTGCCCTGCACAAGACACTGAAACTACTGTTGTCCCCATCGACAGGGCATGGGGAGCCCATTTGCAGAGTGGAAACAGCTCCAAGCACAGCTCAAGCTTGGCCCATAGTTCAAAGCCCACCCTTTTTGCATGCGGCTGTTGGTATCTTAAGAGTGAGCTGGATCATAGCTAGGGACTTGGGAATCAACATCTTACTCCCTGAAAATTGCCTTGGAAAGGGCCAAAAACAAACAGGTTTGCTGACTCAAGTCTTGCCTCAGCCCCAACATTTCATAGATGTGGACTTTGAACTCCCAGAGGGGGCTGATTGCCAAGAAGTACAAGGCATGGGGATAAAGGGGTTTGGGGACAAAGCTTGTGCACATTGGGGCTGCTTTTAGGGGCTGAGAAATGCTTAAAAAGAGACTTAAGTGACTGCAGTTGCTCTGTGTTGTAGCTGCTGCTTGGAGTAGATTGTGAGATGCCTCATGGGGTCTTCAGGAGTGCCTGGCTCTCATAGCCTGGTGCATGGAGAGGAGGCTGGAAAGGTGTTCTGGGGACATCAGGTCTCCCTGCCACACTTTCAGAAGAGCACATCAGGAAAAGTACAGTTGAAGTACATGGAAGAAAGAAAATAAGAGATGAAGGTACCAAGGAGGAATTTGCCTATTTCGAGGTAGTGGCAAGACTGGGGACACTGCTAAAAGCCCCTTTCTGCCTTTGCCCCATACGCAGCAACTCCAGATGAACTCAAAAGGACTGATTTTATGGAAAAAAATGTGAAAGGAAGGCAGTATTCTCTTGAGTGAGGGCAATGGCTCATGGTAAGTTGACTTTGTATGCTCTTCTAGTAACAGCTTGGTCAGAAGAGTGCTTTTATTGGGATGTCTGTGTTTTGGGGCAGCTGGGCATAAGGAAACAAAGTAAATGTAAGGGTTTATGATTGGACTTGAAGATCTTTTCCAACCATAAAGATTCTATGAGTCTACAAAATGTGATCTGACTAGCACTGCTGACCTTTATCAATGAGACCTGGAAAAAAGCAGAAGTATTAAGGATAGGATGAGTTCCTCCGCGTAATTCTTAGCACATATCGACATGGGTCTCAGGACACATCCCCCTTGCAGACCAGGCAAGCCAGACTTGTCTAGCTTGCAGTCAGCTTACAAGCTGCTGCTTTTGAGTTCATCCAGAAACACTTTGGGCAAAGGATGGATGTAGAAACCAAGCTTCGATGGTTCTTATAGGCCTGGGACAACTTGCTTTAGGTGCCTATTGAAGCATCATCCTAGAAATCCCTCCTGTTCACCCAACCCTTTATCTTGGCAGCCTGTGCCACAGTGTCTGCAGTCATTCTGGGTGAGAGTAGATGCGTATGGGTGTGTGGTTGCATGGTTCCTTACAGGATGCACGTTGGCACAGATAGATACACACCTAAGGAAGAGTCAATCTCTCCTTGTGTGTCCCTTCCTGAGGTTGAGTTTGGCAGGGCCAATGCAATGATATATTGGAAAGGAACGTGACTAGCAGACAGGTACAGCGCAAACAAGCTATTTAAAGCCTGAAATTCTGATGATAAAATACTAGATGATTAGCGAAGTAATTTTGCGCCATTTGCAATGAGTGTGCTCATTTGCATGAAGAGTGCAGTGAACGTAGATTAGCTGAAACAAAAGCACAGAGATTGGGCAGTTTTCCTCTTTGATGTGAAGATTATAATTAGCTCTTGTTTCTGTATGTGATGGTTTGAAAAATGCCATAGCTGAATGCAGAGCAAGAGTATCTTCCCTGGCAGTGCTTTACCAATTGTTGAATGAATAACCAAGATTGCTGG